CGGTGTAAAAACAGAGCTTGAGGAAAATGGAACCACACCATGCTATGACAAACAATAAGCTGAAAGTAAAAAAGGCTTTATGCTACTTTATCCACGTCCCCGTCTGTTCCTTTTTACCAATATATACATGATATACAACTGTTTCTTAAATACATTTTTGAAAATTTTGCATTTTATTTACAATATAAGAGCTTATTAGTTTTTTTATTATTATTATTTTTATTCTAGCTAATAGACGGTGTGGAATTTTACAGAATAAAAAGCATGGAATATGATAATGTCATAAAGCATCTGCACATTCACTGAACCGCACTGTAAACAACTTCCCTTGATAATCAGAACCGATTTAGCATTTTTGACATAATAAAAATGTTATCTATTGAATAAAATGATCATATTTCTCAGACAAATGCATTACTAGTGTGTGGCTACCTTGAAAACATACTACTGTTCTTCTGTTCTGGTGTTACACATAGGATCATTTGTTTTAATACAAGCAAACTCAAAGTGCACTTTAGGAAGGGATCAAAAAGTCAACTAAAAATGAAAATTGCTGTTTGTTTTCAGACAATTATTAGTGAACGAGACCCAAAGTCTGTGATGATAATGTAATCAAAAAACAACCTTGTTAATATTTTAGTGGTTATGCAGTGAAAAACTCATATGTGCATGAAATATTTAATGAAAAAAGAAACCAAATCAGAGCATTCACATACTAAACTGACAGCACGGACATACTGAAATAATGCCAGCGCTTGCATCAAACGGTAAATCACTGATAAATATGGCTTGTAGATCAATAAAACTCCACCAAATAATCTTGAAAAGAGGCCTGGAGTGCTTCCTCAACAGCTACGACTGGGCATCCCACCACATCAGTTCATTCCCATCCCAAACCCACCCTGTTCTGGCACACATTCACCTGAATCTCACCCTTTCTCTCTTTATCACAGCTGAGTAAGTCCTGGAGAAAGGAGACCTCGTCCACTCCTCTCCCAGCGGGACGCAGGGGCCCCAAGGTGCAGCTTGTTTTGCAGGGGCCTCCCGTCTCAGATCCTCTGGCACACGTGCAGCCTGGACCTGGAGAAGGAGGTGGCATCTTTCCATACCTTGCAGGCAAGTCCTTTGGCGCAGTCACAGCGCTGGAAGATCTCCAGGCTGTGGGAACCTTTCTTGCGCTGTTTGGTGCAGACTTCGCCCTGCCGCAGCACAGGCTTGCAGATTTTCGTCCAGAAGTGGCGAGCGCAGCAGTAGCCCTCCGAGCAGTCGGACGATCGCAGACAAGGGTCGCCCTCGTGACCTGCACGTCAAAGAAGAAGGCAATGGCATTTCTGTTACTCAAACAGAAGAGCGGAACACTAATGATGACAAGGTTATGGAAATGCATGCAGTGTAAAATGCTTTGGATAAAAGCATCTGCCAGATACATAAATTCATAGAATCCATAGAACGTAAAGGAATAGTTCACCCAAAAATGAACATTTTGTCATCATTTACTTATGACCCTCATGTTGTTTCAAACCTGTATGAGTTTCTTTCTTATGTTGTTGAACACAAGAGAAGATATTTTGAAGAATTGTGAAGAATCAAACAGTTGTTGGTCCCCATTGACGTCCATAGTGGGGAAAGAAATACTATTGAAGTCAATGGAAGTCAACCTTCAACTGTTTGATTCCCAGCATTCTTCAAAATATCTTCTATGATGTTCAACATAAGAAAGAAACTCATACAGGTTTGGAATGACATCAGGGTGAATAAATGATGACAAAATTTGTATTTTTGGGTGAACTATATCCTTTAAGGCTAGTTACTTTGTAAACAAATATTTTCTGATTAAATGTTCCATATATAGTTCATATTATATACAAAAGATTTTATTTGCAGATAATTATTTTTTGCTATTTTTTTTATGATTTTCACTTTCAAATGAACTAGCCTGTCTGAGTTTATTTGATCTTCCCTTACCAATCCTTAAAAGCACTACAAGTTTGTTACATTAAAATTGGCATGAAATGGAAATTCACTCTCCTCCATTCCCCAATCATATTTTTTTTGTGTTTCTACTTCCTGTGCTACCTCCATTACTTTGTGACTGTATTACCCCTCCATCATCAAATGGAAGGACCCAGTCAAAGATGACATATGGTGGCAATGTGTACAACTCTTATGCATGCTTCATCTTTTTATGTCTCATGCAAATATTCTCCACAACGTTCAAGTGAAATCAGAAAATAAAGTGCAACCAAATACGTCACTGTTACTGATATACATCTACTTACAAACAAATGCAAAACAATTTTCCAATGGTTGGTGTTCACTTAGTACAGGCTGAAAAGAGCGCAAGGTTTTTTTCTACAAATTGAATGTTGTAGTGTGATTTTGTGTTAAATTAAGTTTGGTGTTATAAGCTACATTTCAAGGTGAATATTTTTGACAAATGTCTTCTAGACATAACATGGCACTGTATGTTGTCTGTTGAGGTACTTTTGTAAAGTGCAAAAAAAAAAAAACGCTCCATATGTTGTTTTGGCTTACTTATAAAACACTAAAGCATTTTCTGTACTCCATTATACTCATTTCAATTGCATTACGAGGCCTATATACAGAAACAGTGTTGGGGCCCCTAATTTGAGCAAATCATTTCCCGATATATTAAGAAATTTGGCCCATTTGAAAGGAACCTGATATGCTTGACTAATGGTCTGCTTTACGCTTCAAAGGGATAATTAGTGAAGCAAATATTTATTATGTATATAAATATTACTTAGTCATGCAAGTTTTTCTTTTTTTGAAACAATTCACCATGAAACACAAAAAGTAGACTTCCTGTAACAAAACCACAGTCTCGTGCATCTTCCATATTGGTTTGTGGGATTTTTTAACAATGAATGAATTCATCAAATCAATCAATCAATCAAACAAACAAATAAATACATTTACTACAAAATATACAATAAATAAATAAAAAAGATTGATTGATGGATTGATTGATAAAAGGAAAAGTTCATAATTTCTTCTAAATAACAGTCTGTACATTTAGGGTGCCTCAAATGGCTCCGTCTAAATCTCGTGTGGTTTCATTTATGTTTGAGCGTGACTGTGCCGTCAGCATGCATGTTACTGAGGCGAGAATACAGAGGTGTGGGAACAGCACTGCATTGTGATCCTTCCTTCACAGGCCTCCCGCTGCGGTTAAATCTTCAAGATATACGAGCTGCGTGTAGTTACAGCCAAATTTGTGGCCCGCCGTTCCCCTCAACACATGCATGCAACCACATCCAGTGAATCAACTCATTGCAGACATAGCTCATAAGTGAGTACGAATATGAAACAGTCTTAGACCGCCCAAGGTACATTGACTGACTGTCTGATGCATACAGCACACAAAACTAGACAGAAAATCCCATGCTACAATCACATTGCTTGAGATTATATGTAACTTCCTGAAACCAGGGTACACTGTGAG